TTTTATTGGTGGTATGCTGTGCATTTCCCCAAGAATGTGCAATTACAGCTGTATCAGGACTCCACCCTTTCATGGATTGGAAGGTGCATTACAAATGAATTTTGTTCCTCAACCAGTTTCCAGAGACAGTATTGCAATTTTTGTTTGGAATATATCTTTTGAAATATAAGAATCCTTCTTCAGCTGATGTTTTTTCTATACCTTCTGTTTTCTTCCATAGCTGCAGTTCAGATGAGAATAATCCCCAGGAAAGTTTTATGGAGGGTTAAGAGTGAAAAAACTTTCATACCAGCTGACTCAACATTTCTTACTGAAGTTGTTTTTACTTGCACTTCTACAACTAAAAATGAAATCTAGTGGATGAAGATATGGGCCACAAGCCACATTCTTCTCATGCCCTGATTTTTAAGTTCTGGGAGTATTGCTCAGAGATATAACTGCTGCTACCACATTGATAAACTGTCCTGCAAAGGAAAAAGGAATTACATGAGTTTTTCCACTCCTGATGGAAGCAGTCCTCTGTAGAGTGAGAAATGGAACATGAAATGTTGGGGAAGTGGAAAGATTTGTGGACCAAAATGGTGTTATTGTACCTTGGAGCTCTTTTAAAAGAAGTAGAGCAATGGAAACAACTGAAAATTTAAGGATCTTGATTACTAATATATAGGTTCATATTCCCACTAGTATCTAAAGATTGTATTTAATAAAAGGATTTCTGTGTCAGACTGATACAAAAATATCAAGCTTGTTTGTAACAAGGCACAGTAAACTCAAGATCCAGTTCACTTTAAAATGATCTGGAAGTTTCTGCTGGACCCTTTCCCTGAATATCTCTGCCAAATTATGGACTATCTGAGACTTTAATACCTTCCCTAGAGCTATGCACAAATAGCTAATAAATAATAAATAGGTAATAATTCCTCAGTTTTTCTCACCAAGAATTGAGTGCGTATACAGTGCTGATATGTGCTCTAAAGATACTTAGAACAGTTGAAAGGCAAAACAAACTTTCCTTCTCTTGGGTCAGATTTTCATTTAAGATTGGAATGGGATCTGCTTCTGTCAGCTAGTCTGACCTTCCTCCTAAAAGAGGCAGCCAACCTTACTTTTTCTTTACCAAACCTTTAACTATTTGAATTACAGGATACATTTAGCTAACTGGGAAACCTTTAAATTTGCAAGGCTTTGCTGCATTGTTTGTTTAGGAGGAGAAACTAAGTATAGTATTTCTTTAGTGGAATATGAGGACTATTTTGTTGAATGCAGGGAAAACTATCATGGTGTTTTCCTTTGTTTAACATATTTCAAATCTGTCTTTTCAGTAAGTTCTCATTCATGTAGAACATTTTGTCTCTACAGGCTGCTCTTTCCTGTTGCTTTTCTTGCTTTCTCTGCTTATTGCTTCACAACTGCAGCCAGTCAATTCCTTTCAAAACTAGTCCATGATCCATGATAAAGACAACCTTTTTTTTTTTTTTTTGCGCCTTTTTTTAGCTTTAACATTTGGTATATAAAGGGGATTTAATTGAAATAACTTGAAAGAAGAATGCTTAGCTCTCCCATCTGGGGTAACCACACCTGAAATAGGAGGTAAACCTATTACCTAAACCTGTAGCCCTAGTTTACAGCAGCAAATTTTAACATAATAATATTCAAGCTTGATTAAAACCTGTTGTTTTCTATTGAAAATTCACAGCTCCATGAATTATCCTAATGGTTAATTAGTCACAGTGTTAAATAAAAAATTATTTGTAATCTGAATTCATTTATCTTCAGTTATTTATGTCTGGATTTTATTGTCTTTTTTCTCATCAATGCCATGTGTACCCTCAAATCCATGGAATACAGTGGAGTGTATTGATTTTCTCTTGAATAAACTGTAGGATGCATTGAAATCTTGCTAAGTGGTGCACTTTCTAGTCCTTGGTCAATTTGTTCATCTTTCTGCTGAATTCTCTTCAGTTCTTCAGTTCTTTCTCTTCTGTGGACCTTGGACAGAAAGGAAGAACATTTTTGGGCCAGTGGATTGCTTTTATTTTCTACATTCTGCTTTAATATCAGGGTTTTTCATTGTTCTCCGAGTTGGATTATACTATGAGTTTGTGCTTGGCTGATTCAATGGTAATTATTGCCAAGTGCTTAGAACATAAGTATTTTGGTTGTTTTTTTCTTTAAGTACAGCGTACTCAGGAACACAGACAAGCTGCAATGAAAACAAGAGTGTTACCTCTGCCTATCCACAGTTTGTAATGCCAAAATTTCAGTGTTATTGAAAAATATGTCCATTCTGAAAGAAGTCTCAGTAGACATAGTGTGCCCTTTTTTACAGAGAGGAAAATAAACCACACAAAAAGGAAGCTTCAGTTGCATATATGAATATCTGTTAAGTAATTTGTGAGTTACATCTTCATTGTGGTTTGTTATTCTGAAAATGGTTAGGAAAGACCAAATACATTTATAATAATTTTGCCGCATATTCCTATTTCAACACTTTAATTTCTGATTATGAAATGAAAACCAGGCTGATTCTGATTTAAGTAGGAATTTGAGATGCTACCAGTTAAAAATAAAACATTTTGCTCCATGTTAATCAACATTAATGTTAATCAAACCCCTTTGAGTGTTGCCATCTACTTCCATGTTTTATTGAATATTTAAGTTGCTTTCCCACTCTCATTTTTATTCTGTATCCTTCACTATCATTAGTCTTTCCTTGTATGTTCTGTTCTTTCTCTGTGGCACATGTCTGTTACCTGTCATGCAGCTTCAGTAGGATTGCAGGTGGATTCTGGTGAATGTAGCAGTGGTGTCTGTGGGCAGGATCTCATGTAGGCTGCTCTGGTTGGGGAGAGGACATTGACACAGACTGCTTGAAAATTTTCAGCTCTTATTTATCAAGGGTAAATGGGCAACTGGTTTGGTGATCTGGATTTTTTCCCCTGCTGTTTTTAACTGTGGTGTTGTAGCTTTGGAAGTTCTGTTTGTTTTTCCTGTTCCTGATGGATATTTAATTATTCTTATTGCACATAAACCCTTCAAACAGAAAAGCAAAGTAAGGAGTGCAGTGGTTTGGTGTGGGAATGTCCAAAGAGCACTGATCTGTGTTGTCAGTCCAGTTGAAGGAGGATTCCTGTTTGGAGCCTGCAGCTGGATTAGCACACAACTTAAATTCCTTAGTGGTGAGCTGTGGGAGAGACTGGGACAGCATTTTCCCCTTAAACTTTGCAGTAACACCAACCCTGCTGTGGGGAGTAGAAAAAGGTTTGAAGTGTGGGAATCTCTTTTTTGACTGGTTATTTTGTTATACTTTCATAATGATGAGTTCTGGAAGAAGGGTTGCAGGAGCAGTAAATAAAAATGGTGTGAAGGGGGTGTTTTTAAGATAATATTTATAGTGCTGCATTCCTAGTGACTAGTTATTTTATTTTGTTTTTTTGTGTGAATCCTTGCATTTTAAAATGGAAAGCATTGATGGTTGATTTCATTTTGTTTTACCTACTACTCAGCAGTTTAGGTCTGTGTTTAAAAGTAAATTGTAAGGGAGAACAAACACTTTGTTATCTTTTTGCTTTAGCAAGTTCTGTGGCCTGTTAGAATCTTTATGTTCAAGCATAAGTTAAGTGGCCAAGTTGAGTCACTGTGTAGTCTGTGTTATGCTCCTGTTACATAATGTAACTCTATTTCAGTCTGAGTAGAAAATAATTTAATGTACAAAGTAAATACTTTTCACTGAAGATTTCCACAAGCCATGTATATGAGTCCTACTATTTCAGCACTGTGTCATCTTTCACAAGAAAGGAAACCTTGTAAACTTATTTCCTAAAGTGGTAGTGTTTGTTTCTTCTGATTTTCTAAAGAAGAAACTCAACTTGTTTGGGGGTACATTTTCTGCTAGGAAAAGCAACAAAATCACAGATAGCAGCTTGTATCTACACAGTCCATCAGAATGTGTCTATAAGTCTGCTGCTGATCTCAGGTACACAGATTGCTTTATAGCAAACTCTTGACTGCAGTTAACAGGCAACATAAATTTATTAAGTCAGTAGGTGGATGAGAGGAAAAGGACTACATCCTTTTTTTTTTTTTTTTTTTTTTTTAATGGAGCTTTCAGTTATTTTTCAGATTTTGCTAAAGATGGCTTTTTCCATCACCTGTGCTATAAATAATAAGCATGTCACCTTTTGTGTTTAAGTTTCACATGACAACTGTTGCATATTGTGCTGCACTCAGAAGATGCACTTCTGCTTGTTTCTTTCTTAAGCTGTTTTCAAGTGAAGATGACTGTATTACTGTAACTATTGCATAAATACATAAAAGTTCTCCATCCCTAGTCAAGAAAGACACTAATTTTTCCAGGCCCTCCGTTCCCTTAGAATCCAAGACCTATTACAGGTCCATGTGAGGGGTAACACCAGTTTGTAGAAACAAGATGTTTTCAAGGTCTTAAACCTGTTGTGTGATACTTCAAATGCATTTAAAAAAAAAAAGAAGTATAGAAATAAGGGAACTGTGGAGTAAAAAATCAATGACAGTCATAACTTGTTTAAAATTCTACTAATTGGACAATTAGTATCAATTTTAGGGTATACAAGTTGTTATATATGATGTGTGTATAGAACTCTTTTTGTGCATGTTTCAACCTTCCAGAGCAGTGTCTGTGTTTACTGGGATAGTTTGTCTTTAAGGACGTCTGATTTGTCATCTGCTTGCCTGAAGTTGACTCAAATTTGGGTTTGCTAAGGGTTAAGGGGACTCAGGCTTTTCTTCTCTCCTTAGCTCTGTGTTCTGTAATCAAATTTTCATGGCATGTTTTTTGCAGAAACCTCAGCTCTGCTCTCTCCGTCTCTCTCCATCTCTGGTTTTCCTTGTTAGGATTATATTCAGCACTGGCTGCCAGCTTGTGACTTCACATCATTGGACATTTATGGATACCTAGACCAGACAGAGAATTTCCTGTTTAAATTGAAATTGTGGCTTGCCCTGCTTTTCTGCATACTATTATGGGGTATGTTAATTACCCCATGAATTACATAAAATGCTCAAAATTGCATTTTATGTAATAATTCATTATCATACAAAAGGAAATGGGAAGTCTATACGGAACACAACTTTGAACAAAAAATTAGAGTTCTTATGAAATTTATCTATAAAATACTGAAATAGGGAAATCATTATTTTTTTGCTTTAGGAATTAATGTTAGATGTTGCAAACACAGATTTTCTCAGATATTAACAGTAGTTCTGTCTGGCAGGAAGAGAAAATGATGTAGGTTTGACTCCAGAACAAAACTGAGTTAATTTGGAGTCGGGTATCCTATAAAGGAGCAGGGACTTTACTGAATCAATCTGAACTGTGTTAAGCCTTCAGGTATAAACTGTCTCCTAGCCCTATCCCAACAGAGATTTGTAATCTGTCTACCAGTAATGACGCCTTTGGTGCTTTCAAAATCTTTTCAAAACAGCTTAGTAAGGGGACTAAACCAGAGTTCAGTCTTATTTGTGACAGAATATGGTGTTTTATTTTAATATCTTGTGACTTGGTTTCATCTGAAATGGAAGTAATGTCTAACAGTCATTTTTAAGTCTTGATGATGAAGTTGTTGTCTGAGAATATCTTATGCTCTAATGCAAACTGTTTAATAGGAATAATTAATTAATCTGTTTATTTTGCTTTTGCAGCATCTTTGAGGATGAAAGCGTGAAATTACGACAGCTGAAACTACAGAATCAGGTAAATGATAGTGCTGAAGTTGGTAAAAAAAAGTATAGGAAATCAAACAGCCCATTAGAGACTTGAGAAATGGGGGTGAAGTGCTAAAATGGGGGGTTGGTCTAATGTACTTCGAAGATTTTCATAGTTTTCATTAGTTAAAGTCAACCTTGCCATGGTTTGTAGACGATGTATTTGATGAATTTATTTTTCATATGTTCTCTTATTTCATTGGGATTGAGTCGCTAGAGAGCAGAAATAAATCAAAAGATGGGAAGACTGCAGGGAATTAGCCTTTTTTTGCATCAAAGGAATGGTTTCACCTATAATGATCTCTTTAACACTGCTGTTGAAAAGGATTCCAGCCTCTTCTGACATTTTTTTGTTTCCTACGCTGCAAATATTTACAGCCAAGCATGGGTCAATTATTAGGCTATAGGTCTCAGTTTTTGAAGTGCTGTTTGCTGGATGTTTACATTACCATATTCTTCAAAGCAATGAAGTACCCATTCTTAATATTCTTTCTCTGTGAAATTTCAAATGCTTATGAAGGAAGATGTGAGACTCAGGATTCTCTAACTGGCCATTTCACATGGACCACAGATCACTGTTTTGCATTAAACTCATCTTGTTTAAATTAAAGAATGGTTTTTAGGAAGGTGCTTTCTCAGCTGAGGATCTTTAAGTCCAGACACAACAGTCTTCAGGGAACTGTTGCAGTGGGTAATAATCCTCTTTATCAGAACCTGGTCATTATTTGTAGTCGGAGTTTGCTAGGCTTTGATTTCAGGCACTGAATTTATTACCAGCTTTAGCTGGGTCTATAAAGGCATTTATCTAAAACATTTCAGAGTCAAGAGGTAAAATGTATCTTTGGTCATATTTGTGAAAGCTACGATAGTCCTTTATCTCTAGACTATCAAGTGACACTTGTTTAAAAACAAACAAATAATTTATTCAAAAATAGAATTAATTCAAATAATCTATAAAAGAGCATTTAGTGTCAAATGCCATTTGGTAAGAAGTTCCAAAGCTATGGATGGTGTGACTACTTGGTGATGAACCTCAGGGTCTGTTTTAGAACTGGTCTTGGGTCATAAGTTAGTAATAATCACTGTTTCCTTGTGCTGGGTTCTGTGATCAGTGTTTGCTTAGCATCAGGCTTTGCCCTGGGGATGCATGGCTATTCCTCCAAAATAAAGTTGCTGGACTGGGTGGAATTCCCTCAGAGCAACTGTCAGTTGCATCATGAAGAGGTCAGTTAAAATAATTACTTTCCTTTTGCAAATTTGTTTCCATCTTTCTTGGATTTGGTTGAGATTGTAATCATCTCCAAAAGAAACAGCTAGACAATTTTACTAAATATATTTTAATACCCTGCCCTTTGCAAATGAAATTAGTTGGGAAGTGCTAACCATCTCTGATTTAGAATTTTAGAATTAGGTTTGAATATTAAAGTCTACTTTTACATGAATAGTACTGTGCCTTCTGAAGAAACAAAGGTCAATAGGAGATCACTACCAAATAAGATGGACTCGCTGCTGATTTTAGTTGATGCCTTGCTTGATAAGTTTGTCATAAACAATTATAGGAATTGGAATTTAAAAATGAAAAATGTTTTAATCCAGCAGGATTATATATAGAATCTCTGTCATACAGAGAATCTGGAATAAGCCATAGCAGAGACATGCCTGTCCATCCATCTTTATGATGGGTTTGGAAACCCTGTAATTGCAGTAAAATATTATTTATAATAGTGCATGACATCAAGTTCCATCTGTGGGCCAGCTCTGCCTGCAGGATGCTTTTTTCTCCTGGAATACTGCCTTTTCCTTGAGGCAAGAGCTTGTGGTTGCTCAGGCAGTGCTTATTTCCTCATTAGCAGAGTATTTTTAAGTCTTCTGAGGCGTCTGCAGCTCCAAGTGCAATACTGCCATCTCCCTGTGCAGGGGGAGCACGAAGCCTGGCATGTTTCTGAATTCTGAATTTCTGGTGTGGTGCATTCCTCTTGACCGTGGAGTTTCACTGGTGCCATTGTCACTGCTGCCCCTGCATGAGCTAAGGGGCAGCTGGAAGAGGAGACAATGTTCTCTAGCTAGGATTCATCCTGCATGGCCTGCTAGGGTTAGAAGTGTACCAACAAATAAGTAGCACAGGATTGCGCCTTCAAGACTGGAGTGGTTGGAACGTTCCTCAGTATATCAGCTTCCTGCCATCACAGCTGAAGAAAGAGAATACTAAACTAGTTGTCTTAATAGTACACTAGATATTCTCATGTGACTTCTTGAAAGCTCATTTGAATAGGAGTTGGTAGTTGTGATCCTCAGTTGTCTGTCCTATATTCTGATGTTACAGTTTTCTAAGATTTTTCTGGAAGTATTTAATGTAAGGAGTGCACAAAATCCCAAAGAAATCATAATAATTAGTATGTGTTATTTATTTAATGGGTGCCCTGTTCATGAACTATCTACATTCTATGTAGTAATAGTATATGAATTTTTACTGTTACACAGAGCTGGAGGAAAAGGCTAATTAGTTAACAAAATGAAACAAAATACCCGTTTCCTTTTTCTACTTCCTTAGTGGAATACTATCGGGAATACATGGTACAGAAGGGCAGGCTGCTCTGCCACCGTATGGAGAGAAAATGAACTACTGTTTGCTGTCCTGATAGTGGACTTGCACATATTTTTTCCATCTCAGTATGCAAAATAGTAAAGAGAAGCCTTTAAAAAAATACTAAGTTACTATCAAGTTCAGTCACTTTGATTATCCTGTAGTTCTTGCAAGAAAGGAAGTTCAGTCACATCTACCAGCAGTAAACTGTATTTTAATATAAGCTGACCTGATTGGATTGGTGAGTCCTAGAAACTCTTTGATGTAACACAATGTATAAGAATAACAATTAAAATTTAGACTGATGAGCAGTGAAATGTTTAAAAAAGCTTATCTAATAGAATAATCTACTAAATAACTCTTGAAATTAATATATCCTGTGTTCATCCCAAATTCAATTTTGCATTCTAACAGGAGCTGTATATTTTCTTATTTTCTTACTGCTTTTAGGTTGTGTCTGTATTGCTGTTTGTTTTGTTTTTGTTTTTCTTGCCTATTTGTCAGGTAGTGAAGCCTTGACAACAATTTTTCTCAAATCCTTATTCTCAGTGTAATTTTTTGATTCTTTTTTTTTTCTTTTCCCACAGAGAACTATAAACTATAATTACATTTTTTTACTTTTCCTCAGCTTTAATTTTAAAATAGGAATGAACAATACAAACCAATGTAAATTCCTCTAAAAGGTCTGACTACCTTCTTAGAAAGCAGATCTGCAATTGGCAGTTTCCAAGAATTCGATTTTACTGCTTATGTTTCTTTTCTTATTCTAGACCAATGTGATAATCTCTTTGGAATTCTGTGTAATTTTTGCTCTGCAGGATAATCCTTGCAAATAATTCTAGCAAACACTACCTGTATTGCAGTTCAGTCTTCAAAGAGTAATTCTGAGTTTAAATTAAAAGAGTAATTTTGTTTCAAGGTGTTTTTGTTTGCTGTATTTGAGGTTTTGTATGTTTGGTTTGGTTTGGAGTTTGGGTGGTTGGGTTTTTGGGTTTTTGGCTTTTTTTTTTTTTTTTTTCTTTTAGATAAGTAAAAAAGTGAAAAAGCCAGACAGAATAAAGAATCAAGGGCTGAGTTGTGTTGAAATTCCTCAGGGAGAGGTTGCCTGAGAAACTAATCTCACTTGAGATAAAAAGACTAATAGGAGAAGAAAAAACCAACAAGAGAAAAAGAATAATAGGAGAGGAAATGGCTCCAAAAATGTCTGTGTCTCAAGTGGATTGAACTGTTGGTACTGATAAATTGTTTATCTGGTGGATGCATCGAGACTGAAAATAATTTGATGGAGAAATGGTTTCTGTCATCAAAAACAATTTTCAGGGGTGTTCAGATACCTAAGAAACAGCCATGGATAAACTGCACCTGCTGTAAGGAGCTTGCACATTGTTTGCATAATGGTGCATAATAGTAGAATATGATTTTTCCTTCTTCATGCATCACCTTTGTTTTTAAGGACTAAGGATGTCTGTCTTTAAAATGGCACCGTGTCCCTTTTTGCCTTGATTTAAATCTGGAAGTTGTTTCCCTTCTCGTTGAGAAGGAAATATTAAGTATTGAAAGTATATGAATCTTGGAGAAATAATGTTTTAATTTTTAGCATTTGGACTTACCAGTCTTTCCTTTCAGTCCTGAATTATACAGAAAAATTTTGCAAGGTAGATCAAATTTCCTTTTAGTAGATCATGCCTATTTGAATTATTGTTATTTATTTATTTGTCTCCGTAGTTTAAGTTTTATCTCTCAGCATTGGTTTCTGGGAACTATTTGCTTTAAGTTCTCCCTATAAGGTGATAGCTTTTGAGATAAAAACCTTTTCCTTTGCTAGTCCTGACTCTTTCATACTGGGTTATGGATGACTGCTGAATTTGTCTATTTGTGTTAAGGATTGCTGCAGTTGAGACTGGGTGAAAGGATTTAACCAGTAGTCTCAAGACAGGTCAGAAAATAAGCAGGTGCCCATGTCAACCTCTCATGGAGAATCAAAATCATTATCTCACTCCAAAACCACAGTAATATCTGTGTAGGATTTTTGTAAGAGCTTGCAAGAGTATTTCAGGTTTATTTGAGAATCTGATCAGGGACATGTCATTGCCAGTGGCTGAGGAGCGGATTCTGCCTCTCTAGATGTGGTTACTCACCTCTGTTTCCTGCTTTTCTTTATTCCACAGAGAGCCCTTCTAGAGAAGAAGCAGAGGAAGAAACGTCTCGATCCGTTGATGGTACAGCCAAATCCTGAGGCCAAGCTGCGCAGGTCAAAGCCCAAAGGGAGCGAGGAGCAGACTCCTTTAGTAGAAACTCCTACCCCTGTCCACAGTGATGTTGTTTTACATGGTAAATAATCAACCTGATTGCAACAGGGTTCTCCAAAATCCCAGTGTGTGCATTATGTCACAGATGGGTGCTTACAGTGCTGTGGTAGGGGTCAAGTGATAAGATTGATTACATACTTTTCTATAAACAAAAGTTGAATTATACTACAGTATGGTTGAGCAATACTAAGCTGTGAAAGCAAACAAAAACCTCACCTGGATTTTTGTGACAACTGTGAATCTTCATGTGCCCTTGAGTAATCTCTTCCTTGGGTTAGGCTGTAAGAGCTGTAGAAATGGGCTGGCAACTTCTATAAAGGTGGGGACATACAAATCCAAAGTAAAAAAAAAAATCTCCTAAAGATAAAGAAAATAATTCCATAGTGACTGCTTGTATGGTGTTTCCTTATGATGTCATGGCATTCTCACCTCAAGGTTGCATATGACTGAAGGATAAAGCAGAGAAAGCAAACAAAAAGTGTTGTGAATGCTGTTAGGCTCTTGATGGTTTTTACCTCATCTGTTGTTTTCTGTGGGCTTCATTGACACAACTGAAACATGACAGGTTACAGTGGTCCACAAAGTCACAAGCACAAAGTGCTGTCAGGGCCAAAGGCAATAACTTGGTGACCTCAAAACATGGCAGTAAAATAGTGACCGTTGTTTTAGGATTGAAAAGAAATGCAGTAGTGAGAGCCTTAGGACTCCCATGTTGCAAGGAGATAAAAAGAGCAGCAATGAAATCCTTACATTCTAGCAACAGGGAGTTTATGAGAGCCAGGATCCTATCAGCCTATCAGGAAAATAATGTGAAACATTCTAAGGCTTTGATATGTGTGCTATTGCAGGGTGTTATAATACAAGCATTGTGTTAATAGCAAATTAAAATGAACAGTAGAATTTTAAAGCTCCAAACAGGGGGTGTTACCTGGTTTGAAGATCACAGTTGGAACTATGCTATCCCTTCTCTCTTGAGTATTTTTCTTGTTCTCCAGATGCCTTTCAGGATCATAGGACGGGAAGGAAAGTGGTGGTGTTTATGGTAGCATTTATGTGTTTAAAATCAGGTGTAAGAAAGCTTCTCTTAAAAGACACTCTTTAGTCAAAAAGAGAATGAGAGATAAGAAAGGTATAACTTTTAAGGTAGGAGTCCAGTAAGACTCAAATGAAAACTTAACTGCTCATTCACTACCTTTCATAGTTCTGAGGCTTCCTCAGTGCAAACAAGTCCTGTTAAGAAGCGATAACATCAGTAAGCATGTCAGAAATACAATGCCTAGATAAAGCAGTAAAGTTTTAAGAAGGAATACAGTGGGAAAACAAGAAATCCAAAGCTGTAACTACACTTGCATATCGTGTGCTACCTATTAGGTGTTATGCCAGACCCTGACATCAAGATGCCTCCACCAATTGAGAAGTGTGGTGCACAGCTGTGTTGTATGGTTTAAACATGGAAATTTCATTCTAACAAAAAGATAGAGGGTTTTTTTCTGTCTATGGCTGTAAATACTTTTATCAAATTGATTTCTGGTGTTCACTGTAGGGTACTCACTGGCACAGGAGCAAACAAACAATGTGAAGGAAAAGAAAATAAGAGAGATGTCTGTAATTAAATTGAAAACTATCAATGTTCATGACAAATACAACTTGTTTTAATTGCTTAAGTCCTTGTAAAAAGCTACATAAAGGCACTATATTTAAATAGGGATAAATGGATAACTGATATGTTTAAGGTAACAGGCAGTCTGTACCAGAGTCAGGCCTGACTCCTCCCAAGCAGTCTGAAAAAAATTGAACAAGTATATTTCAGTACTTTAAACAGAGATGCTAGAGGAAGGGAAGATGCATCCTGGGATGCATCTTTGGCCATAAAAAATTAGACTTTGGAATTCTGTTTCATTTTGGCCTGCAGGCATTGATGGACCAGCTGCTTTCCTGAAATCAGAAGTGCAGGATTTGGGAACCAAGCTCCAAACTCTGTCTGTTGGATCTACCAAACCAGAAGACAATGCAGATAAGGAAAATGATGGAGAGGCTGTAACAGATACAGCAAGCAAGCCAGATCTGCAAGAAATATTACAAAAACGAGGTAAGAGTTAATAATGGGTAAATGTCTTTTTTGGGGCTCTTCTACTTTTATAACTTTATTTCAGTAGCATTAAAAAATGAGGACTCATTAAACAAATGTCTGTAGGATATCACTTTTAAAAGATTCTACAGCATGTGGAGGTGCAGTGCTGCAGTTCCCTTTCCTGATATTATTTGAATATACCAGTTACATTTTAAGGGTTTCTCAATGTACTGTGTAATTTCTGGTCTTTCCAAGGAAATTGCTGACAAAATGCTATACCACACTTTGTTAAAGTTTGGGGTGTTTGTATTTCAGGTATGTTATATAAGATGCTTGAATACTTTTACAACAGCAGGACCATTCATTAAATGCCATGATTTAACTCTTTAGGAGACTAACAGGAAAGGTGTTTTTTTCTGGGTCAGAGTCTGTCACAGTCAGCGGTTTTCGAGTTATATATTTAATAGTTATATCCCATTGTGTAATTCCCTAATGGAGTGTCAAGCCCTGTCTGCCAAGTATCTTAAGTTGCTACCAGTACTACAGGAAACCTTTTTTTGTTGCATGCAGCCAAAGCACTTTGCAGCAAAATAATGGCTAGTGTTTAATTTAGTATACAGCTTGTTTTTATTCTGCAGAGTTTGTCTCCTAGAATGCTTCCAGTACACTGCATGTATTGAGGTATCACTTTCAGAGGTATTCTCATCTAGTTGTCAGATGGCACAGCTGCTTACCTATGGATAGCAACATTACACAAGAGTTAGAAAAGGAAAGATGAGAGAATATCCAGTAACTTCAGGGGAAATTAGTGGAGGTGGAATATAAACAGTGAATTTTGAAATTGGCTGGAGTACCAGGGTCAACGCCTTTCCTCTTCCCAAATGTCCTTTGGGAAGTTTACTGACAGGTTTTTAAGACTGGATTTTTTCTGTTTTATCTGAGACTTCCAGCAGTGCCCTTCTCTGCAGTGCCATGTCAGAGCATTGTTATAATATATGTTCTCAGAAAATAATTCAGTTAAGCAGGCTCTGTTCAATGTGTATAATGCTTTAGATACATTTTCTTTCTACAGTCAAATTAAAGAAAATAATCAAAAGACTCAATCGAACAAAATCTCAGATGCACAGAATCAATTTGGTTGGAAAAGACCTTTGAGGTCATTGAGTCCAACCTGTGACCTAACACCACCTTGTCACCTAGACAATGGCACTTAGTGCCACATACTGTCTTTCCGTAAACACCTCCAGGGACAATGATTCCACCACCTCCCTGGGCAGCTTTTTCCAACTCTCAGTCAACCTTTTTGTGAAGAACTTCTTCCTAATGACCAATTGATGATCCAGTTCTTAGAGGAAGGACACAACAAATAGTAATGTGTACAGAACCTCTTCATAAATGTCTTTATGCAGAGTTATTTTAGTTATATACCCACAGTCATTTATACATGACTGTCCTTAGTTTAAGATTAAGTAAGTCCTGAAACTTCAGTCTGTGCTTCAGTTTTAGAAATCAAGTCATGATTAGTATTTATGTACCTGAGTTTTTGATACTGATGGAAGAACAAAAGGGGCTCTTACTGAAAAACTGACATACTCTGTTTCAGTGTGTGTAAGACTGAGGGAAAGTGGTAAAGGATTGACTTGTACAGAGCCCAATTTATGGGATAGGTGTCAGCATATCAATCTGGATTTCCTTTTATTATTGTTGTTCTTAAGACATGGAGAACTTTTTTGCATGAAAATATGAAAAATTAATTCAATGGCAACATAAACTAAGCAATATGTTATGTCATGGAATATCAAGTAAAATCCATATTAATAAAGGTCTGACAGCTGCTTAATCATCTGCACAGTGTCTGTTGCAAAATATCAGTAGGAATTTGAATTACAAGGCTCAGGAAGAGATATAACACATGAAGAAAATCAGTTGAAACAGAAAATAAGAATCAGCAGTTGAAAAAACAGAAATTAAGAGTGTGAATAAATACTCAAGAGCCATATATTAATTAGTAATGCCATAAGCTCATGACACCTTCTTTCAGAGATTACATGCTTAATCCTATATTCTGACAGGAATTTCAGGCAGTTTGAATTTTGATGAGGAGGACACAGAAGAGGAAGAAGCTACTAAGAGACCAGTATCTCATTCACCATACCCTGAATCTGAGAGGCCTAGTTCTGCATCCAGCGAGAAGTCTTTTGCAGTAAGTGTCTTGAAATCAATTTCTGCTAAGCACCGGGCACGTGCCTGATTTTAGTGCTAACCCCTGGAGCACTGGGTTAAAATACAGTAGCTGCAAGTAAGGTAGTCAGCAATATTATTCCCTGAAAGCAGAGAAGGGTCAAGATTGTTGGGTTATCTGACTGAAGGGACACGGAGTTAAACATGAAGTCTTAGTAATGATTAAAGGAACAATTGTGGGTGGAGGATCCCAGGGAGCCTAATCAGTGAATATGGGAACACAGTGAGTCAGCACTATTACCCTTCAAGGAGACAGACTGGGCCATTGTCTCTGCAAAATTCACCAAAATGACTCAGAGGAGCTCTGAAATGCCATGCAAACATAGGAGGGATTTCTTCCTGAAGGTTTATAGCATTTATTCAAAGGGATTCAAAGGGAATCAGAATTTTGGAAAGGAACAGAGAATGCTGGGATTGGACAAACATCATATGGGATGTTTAGGGGAAGGAACTTTAGAGGGAAGAGTATCAAGGTGGATCAGGGAGTAATAAGCATGGGAAGACAAGGATTAAAGGGGGTAAAAGGCATCAGATATATGTAAACAACTGCAAAACAGTATGATTGTCTGTCCAAGCCTTATGCCTTGGTTACTTCAGCATGTCCCACTCTTTCTGAAACTTGACCTCTGTATCTCGTCAATGTGTTCGTGTGTGTGTGTATGTGATATACACACATGCATACATTCGTATGTTGACAAATTGTGCTAGACTAGCCAGTGGATTGGAAGAGACCAGCATCAGGAAGACAGAGGGTCTGAGCTAGCTCAGACCAGATAAAGACCATGAGGTTTGAGCATGGATGCTGGGCACCCTTCAAAGTCCATGCTGTGGGAGACCCACTTGAGTGTATTTGTGAGGTGACTGTGTGTAGGTTGCCCTGCACTAATAGGGGAGTAGTGCAAGAGGTCGGAGTGTCAGCTTCTTGGGAGACTGGGCTGTGGGTGCAAAGTGCTGGAGATACAGGGTGGTGGGTGCTGGACGTGGGGAAGGGGTGAGACCCTCCATAGAATTTCAAATCTATGTATGTGTCTGTGCTGTTCATTCAGGCTTCCTACTGGCTGTAGCTGGGAATGGGGATAAATCTGCAACTTCAGCTTGAAGACCCAGTCAAAGAGGAATGTCTTGGGTGCTACAATTCACAGGATTCAGCTATCTCTAAGAAAAAATTACTTTAATGACCTGTAGCAGATTGCCATTAGAATTCCAATTCCTTTGATTGTCCTATGCATCCTGACTATACACATTGTTCTAAGGCTCTTCCAGCATTTAGTTGATATGGTTCCACCAGCAGCTTACTCCACTTCTGCTACTGTTCTGAAACAACATAATCTCAGCACTCATTTCAGTCACAAAATCCCAGCCTGTCTTACTGCAGCATCCATAAGTCCTGCTTTATCGTACTGTTTTATTTTCCACAGTGTTTGAAGTTCTAAAAGCGGTTCTTTGCTTAGAATATTTACAGCATCTCATCTTATTTCCCCCTTTCTAGTAAAACACTCATGTCTGCTTAATGGGTACTTTTTATCTTTTCTCTTTGGAGACCTAGTCTTTCCTCAGAGTAAAACCTTCAGTTGCTTTCTTCTGAGGAAACACAGGTGGTACCTTGTTTAACCTTCCTTTCCCCAGTATTTTCTGGAGACATGATATCTTACGTTTCAACAAACCACTATTTTCTTGTGGAATACCAAAGTCTCTGATCTGATGTTAATTTGCTAATGTGATGCTTCTTCCCATAGGAAACAGGTGCTTCCTGTAGTCCATCCCCTCAGGCAGATGCACAGCTGGGAGAAGTAGAGAACTTGGAGGATTTTGCATTGCGCCCGGCACCCCGTGGAATTAGTGTCAAGTGTCGAATCACTAGAGATAAAAAGGGAATGGACCGGGGCCTCTTCCCTACTTACTACATGCATCTGGAAAGGGATGACAACAAAAAGGTATTGGAAGCAGCACACATTATCTTGGCTATTATACTCCTACCACAGAATATTTTTGGAGCAAGGGGGAGAGCTTTTGATAAGACCAACCAAAAAAAAAACCAGTAAACCAGTAGCTGAGGAGAGCCATCATGCAGATGAGGACAGCTTATATTTGGCCAAGGTACTAAGGAAGGAATTAGCATGTGATTACCAATGTATTGTGACAGGATTTCAGGCTGGACACTTTGGAAGAGAACAAAATTATGGAGACAGTAATATTAGCACAGAACAAAAGGGGAATTCATATGGGAAATGGAGAGATAACTGTTTGGATAGCAATGCCTCTGCATTCTTACAAAGCACCAGACTTGATCAAAGTTTTGTTTTGCCAGACATTCCTTCTTGCGGGAAGAAAAAGAAAGAAGAGCAAAACATCCAATTACCTCATATCAGTTGACCCAACTGATTTATCTCGGAAAGGTGAAAGTTTCATTGGAAAACTCAGGTGAGAACCACAGATGAAAACTATAGACAGTTGAGACAGGATTTTAATTTTGAGTTGTGGTTATGACTGGCAATCTGGTATAAATTCAAAGAGAATGAACTCCCATTGCTCTGCTCAATGAAATCTGTATTCACTTGGGTTGGCAGCCTTCTTCAGCATTACCATTCACTGTGGCAACTCAGAGAAGAAATTGTCTAAATGCTTTTCTGGGATAGGTTATAAGCTCACGTGGATACATCATGGAAGCTCCTCACTGAACTGGCAGTAGGAAGATTCAGATGGCAGGAGATGTGTGTTTTTGCTGTGCTGTACAAATACTTTCAGAAGATGATGGAACTTTCTACTGATGTCTCTCTTTCTGTGTTTTTTCATGACCTGCCATTAGGTCAAACCTCATGGGAACCAAATTTACAGTCTATGACCACGGTGTTAACCCAGTCAAGGCACAAAGTCTAGTGGAAAAGGCTCATACAAGACAGGAGCTTGCAGCTATTTGTTATGTAAGTACTGCCTCTCCCTTTTTGCCCCTTTCTTTGTGCCTGGTTACCGAGGAAACACAGCTTGCAAAATTGTGCTGCGGCCAGCCTCCTTCACTTAACTTGGGAACCAAGTGACCAATTTCAACCAGATACAACAAGAGGCAGAGGCCTCACAGATAAATTCTTACAAGTTTAATGAAACAAAGAGAAAAAAAAAAATAAAAAATCAATGTCATTAGTGGGAGAAACACCCGAACTAACATCCTTATGACCTTCTTATCTGGTTTATTCAGTGTGTGGCCATTGATCACATGCTTTACATGGAGCCAGCCACAGCATGAACTGCAAACTGCCTCTGGCCCAGCTGGCATCTGGTAGACTCTGAGAAGGAACTGGGAATACCCTGTGAAGCAGAATTAGTTTCTGCAGAACCAGAGGCATCTTGAGGGATAGGAAGGAGCTAGTATTATTTCAGTAGCAGCTTGTTGGTGGTAAAGATGTGTTTCCAGTGTAAATTGTGATTCACTAGCTCTGTTTTAGAGATGATGTTCTGCTCTTGTGAGTCACCTCAGTATAGGATTTGGAGTAAGGAGGCACTTTTGGGCACTACAGAATTATATGAGAGTTCTTATGTCACATTGTTTTGTATTCCAGTTGTACAGTTTGAGTAAAATTTGAGGTTCTCTACAAAACAATCATTGTCAAGTGGAAGAAATTTTATTTTTCTTAGCTTAAAGATGCATTAGCCTACTGGAGCAACATCTTGGTTTTTTTGCTTTTGCTCTTGATGTTAATGGCACTTGGGAAAAAATTGATGTGATAATTCCAGTACTCACTTGTTTACAGAAGTATCACTAGATATTTTCTTTGTATATAGTATTCTTCAGTTTCCTGTGTAGCTGGGCACATCAAGGTGTTAGAATGAGCACAGACAGTTAAGATAAAGTCAGCTTTTCAGAATTCTGAACTTTTATGTACAATACGTCCTGGTATTTTTTAAACCATTTATTTAACAATATCAGCCAAAATCCAAGGGTCCATTTAAAGTGTTCTGTAACAATGTCAGTGATAACCTTTAAAATTCTCAAAGACCAATTAAAAGCCAGAATCTTTTAGAAGTGCTGAATTGATTGACAGAAGTTATACAGCTGCTCCTAACACATTAACGCATTTTGCAGACACAGACAAAGGTCTTTGGAGCTGCAACCTCTATTATTTCACTTCAAAAAATCTAGGGGCATGCTACTTCCTTTGCTTTTTCTACTCAGTCCACTTGGAGCAGTCTCCTTCAGTACTCTGGAAAAATCTGCTTAAGTTTGAAGCTTGGATAGTTGCTGAACATTTCACTTCCTGGGTCTGTTCTTAAACATTTATGAAACAGTGTGATTTGAGAGAAAATAGTGTGTTCTTAAACACAAATAACAGCTCCTGAAGAAAAATGTCACTCATTGTTCAGAAACTGAACTAGTCTAAAACTAAACTGTTTTAGACTAACTGGTGATAGACAGACAACATAGTCAGGTCAAAGATATTTTGCCTTTTATCATACTCAAGGCTTGCTCACTAGCAAGATTTCAACACAGTACTGCCTCAGATGCAAAAAACCTATGCCTGGAAATTACATTTGTGTAATTTTGTTGGAAATGTTTCTGTAGGCTAAGAAATTCACTCTAAATTAGTTAATACCATGCATATCTCCAAATTAGTTAATACCATGCATATGTCCTTAGACTGTTCTCTAAATGAGAAAGGGAGAGAAAGCAGTCCTCAGTGATTAAACACAATTGCAGTTAGATAACTGCTGCTAGAGTTGTAGCCAGCAAAATTCTAAAAACCAGTACAAATGTTGATACAAGTTCAGTTTTGCTGTCTTTCCTTCTCTGAGGTGAAGTATCTCATTTACTGAAAATAATGGCTTTCCTTGTCTTTCAGGAAACTAATATCTTAGGATTTAAGGGTCCCAGAAAAATGTCTGTGATTATTCCAGGAATGAACATGAATCATAAGCGAATTCCAATCCGTCCACGAAATGTGAGTTATGAAGTTTGCTCATGTTTCAGATTGAAGGAAGCGGTTAAACTTCCCTGTAGAGGTGTGGCCAGTTACTGACAATCAGGATTTTTAGGAGCCTGTGCTTTTTTTTTAGCAAGTCTCCTGGAGAGTAAATATAATGTTGCCTAAATGTGTTGATGAATTTGTTCTTGCTTTCTACCTAATCTGTAGCTTTCTGAATAGTCTTTGTATCCTTATGGGTCCTTTGATCAGCCTAAATGTGATTGACTTGTCTCTACGTTGTTGCTGTTGCACCTACAAGCCGCCCTCATGGTGGGACCCTGTTGTGCAGGGCTGTTGACAGGGCTGGATGAACACAGGGCACACTTGTTTCTCCCAGGAGCTCGTATTCTTAGCCAGAATGTGGATTGCAACAGATAGGCAATAGACAGATAAGGTACTGCTGGTGCAAGAGCAAGGTAATAAATATGGTTTTGGTCAGAATGCTGTTAGCCTTTCTGTAGGAGTAGCAGAAAAGAGAATTCTTGAAGAAGGAGGGATGAGGAGAAGGACAGAGTTTTGTAGTAAGTATTTAGGGAGGATTTCTCATAGATGTGAGAGGCATTAAAGCTAAAAGCTTACAGAACAGTATGTGAAGGTGTGTGATGAAAACTGTTAGGTTCCCTTAATGTGGGTTTTATGTTTGGTGACAGAAGACCAAAAGGTAGAAAGAAGAGGTACCAACTGAAAAGTGTGGTCAATGTTTTAAGCTAGAAAATGGTATTTGCAGCCATCTTGTGAGTAGATATGAGTAGGATGAAAACGTATTTCCTGAGGTCAGAGAAAAAAATCCTCAATAATGGAAATTGAGAGTCATGATAACCCAGAAAAGAGATTTAATTCTTGTGAATGGTCAGAAAAATTATATCTGGAAATGGTCATTTATTCATCGTCTTCCAATTGGTGTTGCCATCTCTCCCATTAGTACAGTAACGGTTCTGTGGCCCTGGCTTTATTTTTCTCCCCTAAATCTAAAGGCACTTAGTTGGTGCCAGTTCTCAGGTGTTTGTTTTGCATCTTTAAAAAATAAATAAAGATAAAATTAAAAAGTAACTAAGATGAACAGGAAGTTTTATTTAGGTTATCTTCAAAAATCGACTATGGTATACTTTTATAGTACTGAAGCACATATTATAGCCATATCAGTCAGACCTCCACAACAGGTTGTTTTCTGAGCATTTTTTTCTCATTAGTACCTTAAGCTTGGACTCTTTTTCTTCAGAGTTTTAGCATGTATAGTTTGGATTTTATTTGTTGTAGAACTCTTAAAATTAAATCATATGTCATGTTTCACTACAACCTGCATCTCCTTGTAATTCATTGTTTGTCAAATTTAATGTGCTGTTTTTCTTCCTCTTTGTATCTTTTTGGTTTCATTTCTCTGATTTTCATACTGTGCATCACCGATTAGACCCAATAGGATGACATTAAACCTTTCATTTTACTGCAGCCTTTGGACTTTGTACTGAAGCACCTCAGAGCCTGGCACTGTGCAGTTAATTATAGATTATTTTATTTTTTTTCAATAATTCATTTTTTTAGAATGTTAGAAATGGAAACTGGTTGGAACAGGATCAGAGAAAGATGATGAGAGAAGAGATTCGTGCCAGCAGGATGGCAGTTATCTGTGGACTCTGAATTGCTCCCTTTCCTGTACACACACTTCCTTCCCTATCCCTCTTTTTACTTTATTGAGTGAAAAGGAATGCTTGGACAGGAAAGCTATGAAAGTATGTTCCTGTTACTTGTAGAAAGTATTCAGTAGGGTTGAATTTAAGTGATGTCCTTGTGTTTCATTAAACAGGGAATGAAGTGACAGAGTTCACGCACAAGAGAGGTGGTACTCAAAGGCAGAGCCATTACAAATCTGATAAATATATTTCTTTTTTTCTGAACAGGAACATGAGGGCCTGCTGTCAAAATGGCAAAACAAAAATTTAGAGAACCTCATTGAGTTGCACAACAAGGCTCCAGTCTGGAATGATGATACTCAGTCCTATGTTTTGAACTTCCATGGGAGGGTCACTCAGGCGTCAGTGAAGAACTTCCAGATTGTCCATGACAATGACCGTAAGAGTTTGGTGGAGAATATGTGGGACTTATTTAAACAAGGAGAACCTAATTTATTTCATGAGGCTTGGGAAGAATAGGACACCCTTTCTAGAGGAAGGAAAGTGGGTAAAGGAAGCTAGCTCAGAATTACTGGGGACTTCTGAGCTCTCAGGAAAATTATATAAGGCCTCCTTTTTTCTGGGGTGGGTGCAGACTCTGCTGTCCATAACTGCAGCAAAAGAGAGGGCAAATTAAAGCTTCCTGAAATGAAAGAAAATGTTTAATACAGCACCTTCAGGCTAGCAAAAGAATGGTTTGAGCTTTGATTCTGAGAAGAAAAATAATCCGTAGAACAGCACAGTCACTGTAGAGGACAGATTTCAAGGCCACTCTAGTGGGAAAGGATGGATACACCAACCGCATATATTTGGGACTGGCAGATGTGGGGAGGGGTTTGTGGTTGGGTTTTGTTTGGCTTTAGTTTTGGTTGTTGTTCGCTTATTTATTTCTTTTGCTTCACTGTGAAATTGCTCATCTCTGAACATCTTTTCTCCCCAGCTGACTACATCGTGATGCAGTTTGGTCGTGTAGCAGAAGATGTGTTCACTCTGGACTATAATTACCCCCTCTGTGCTCTTCAGGCCTTTGCTATTGGACTCTCCAGCTTTGATAGTAAATTGGTCTGTGAATGAGGGGCTAGAGACATGAAACATGGAGCTCACTCCCACCCCTACATCTCATAAGAGTTCCAGGTGTAGCAATGAAGAGCATATTGGGAGGGAAATGGAGGACAGACTTCTGCAGGCTTCTTAGAAAACCAATTCCAGCCTTCAGAGCATTGTGGGGGTTGACAGCAGAGCAATCTCTGTATGGATTGCAGAAGAACAAGAAATCTAGGTGATGTCTCTGTTGTTGGTGTTGATTTTGCTTTTAGAATCCTTGTTTACAGATGCTGCATGAGAGTGGGCTAAGCCCACTTATTGGAACTCCTTGCAGCTAGGATTAGAAAAATAATGGCTAAATATTCATTTACCTTGAAGCTGCCACAAAGCCTGGGACTCTTGCTACTCAAGAGCTCCTAATCAGATAAATTCAGGAAAAAAACCAGCTGGAATAAGACATTGGCTCTAATATAACACTTTTACTCTGTGGAATGATTGTCTGCTAAGACTGATACTCCATTTCCCTTTCAGTATTCTAATTTCTCTCTATCCCTTGACAGTCTTTTTACCAAATGAAGAACAATCAAATCTCAAACATTCCCTTTCCAGTGGGGGCCATTATATTCATTGCTACTTCTGTTACTTCTAACCATGTGAAAAATGAGACTGAATAGATGGTAGAATCTGGCTGAATTTGGCAGAAGATAGTATTGTAACAATATACAGTACCACTTCTGAAAAGCAGTGTTCTGATTGAGTGAATCTTGTTAGATTGTAAACTGATCAGAAATATTTTTTAATTTTGCCATTGTTCATGAAATTTGCTACATTTTTAGGTATAAGTTTGTGACAAATTTTAATTTTTAATGTGAGATTATCTCAAGGCATGACATATTAAAGTAGATTTTGTATAAATAATTTTAACCTGACTATAAGAAGGAGTTACCTCAAAAAGAGATTACAGGTATTTTCAAAGGCACCAATAAGTTTAATGTAATTGTACCACAAGGCTTTGCAATGTATCCTTCCAATGTTCCATTTTTAATACTGGATGTACAGTATGGAGACTGTGTGTCACAGCATGGAACACTTGATTCACGTGGCCTTAACTCACCAGAGTGGATTGCAGCACAGTGTGGCCTGGAGGCCTCAGTGCACACTTCTCTGTGCTGAAGCAGAGAACAGTTACTGTCTTGCCTGCTTCTTGCCTCTTACACATATTCATGATGACTTGGATAAGTTTGTCCCTCTACTGAGACAAGCATTAGGTGTTCTCCAGCTTTGGATATTGTCCTTGTCAGCAGACTAACTGTTTCAAGCTGCAAAGAGCAGATATATTGCTTTTTGTTCTCTGTTGTCTTTGCAGCAGTAGATATCACTTGCGCTTTCAAATTAACAAAACTTTGTGAGGACGTTTTCTGATATTGCCAGAAAGAACAATGATCATAATCACAAAGTAAATGCTGTATTTAACTGTAAAATATGAATTGAGGCTGAGAAGTCCAGCTCTTGTATCTTTCAGATGAGCATTTTTCAGTAGCTGCTGAGATTTTCTTGAGATGATCTTATCAGAAAAGCAGTCCGTGAAGAGAACTTGAATGCTGATGGATCTGTTTTGTGCCTTTCTGCTCATCAGGCTGAGGATGAGACCTGGCAGTGTTTTTCAGCTGTGCTCTGCTGAAGTCTTGGCTGATGGTTCTGCATTATCTCTGCCCATCCAGGAAAGGAAGTCAGTTTGTATACCTGTCTGATTATTTTTTCTGACTAGAAATGTGTGAAAGAAGTTGCCTTATGTTATTTGGGGGTGACCTGAAGGCAGGATGCTAATTTCTGGTTCAAGATCTTTTCCAGTGTGCCCAGAAAACATCCTTTACTTAATTAGCCGTGTCAGCAGTGACTCCTCAAGCTATTTGTTGACATCAAATGATCTTGTCACAGCCTCTCAGTCAAATTATGCAGACAGATGAACTGATTCAGTTGTCTTTATCAGATACTGTTTTACATTAATTGTAATTACAACTTTTATATCTAAATGAAAATAAACTAATTTATATATTGAAAAGTCTTTAATTCTAATTTTTTTTTTAAATTTTGCTGTCACTTGTGGGTGTACTTTGTTCCTTCTCTATGACATAGAACCTCAGTTTCTTCCTATCTTCTTGAATATCATCTGTCTTCTTATTCCCTCTTTTCCTTTGTAATTCTCAGTTCTCTTTCTTTGTGGTGTTGGATATTTTTCCCACACACTTAGAAATCTGGGAATAAATGTAAGGGTAGTCTCTCTAATACTTTCATCCAAAGGGTAGTTTCTCTAATACTTTTATCCACCTTTCCCATTACCAGGTTTTAGCCTATAGTTCTTGGTTTTTATTTGATTGTTTAAGCTAGTTCCATTTCTCTGCCCCATGTTTTTAATGTTTTTCCCAGCATCCAGCTAGGACACTTGATATGGTTCTTACTGCATTTTCCTACATTCCATCTGAACCCATTCAATTGTTGAAGTACACTAACATATTTTTTCTGAATCAGGTACTGAAGTCATACAAGGCTAGGAAGAACATCAAGTTGAAGCGGTTATATTTTCCTATTTTCACTGAGAGATGTATGAACCTCAATAAGAGGAGATATTATGGATCTGATAATCAAAAAGTGGTACAGCTCTCAACATGCAAGCCCTATTTTTAAAGCACCTCTGTTTCCATCAGAGCCAAATTAGTCTTAGAGGGGAGAGAAAATTAATTGGGAAACATGACTGGGCATTTGTTCTTAACACAGTAATATTAGTTGCATACATGCAAATGTAACGTGCTTGAAGTTCTAGAGAGATTTAGGAGAAGCATTTTAAATGGTTAAATTGGAATCCTAAAGGCAGGCCTAGCAGATGGAAATGGGTCCTAGGCTGCTCTAGGCTCTTGGGCTTACAAACGTAAAAGACAGTGAATGATTTCTTGCTGTTCTACAGCTGAGTCTCACTCCCATTGAAGTTTTGCTGCTGAACTTAGTAGCAGTAGGACAGGAGGTTTTCTTGCTGTTAGCATAATTATTACAGTTATACTTCACTTAGTGTGCTCCTCTACTTGCTATGATTGACAGCTCTGTAAATCTCTCAGTTGACATCAAATTAGGTTTCCTGTTCCTGGTACAGAAGACAAGCAAACCCTTCCCTGTGATTCACAAGTTGAGTTAGGAGTTTGTGTGCAGAAGAGCTGTTCATGTGGAATGGAGCTATGGACAGCTTTCCTTCTCTCACAGAGTCAGGAATCTCATCTTGGCCAGAGGATCAAACTGTTGTACCTAACCACAGTTTGGAACTAGGTCGGAATTAAGAATGCTCCTTTAAGTAATCCTAGGGCCAAGAGATTTGGCTCAGCGTAGTTATGAAAAAGAGTAGAAAAGAAACACTGATGTGTCAGGGCTCCCTTACTAACAGGGAAAACAGCCAGCTCCCACTATGAGGTGACAACAATTGAAAGCCCTGCCAGGAAAGAAGGCAGAGATCCTGTACCAGTGTTAACTCTTGTATCTTTTGAACTGTACACTATAGTTTCTGTTTTCTCATTGCATCCCTTAAGGTGTTCTATACTAAATTATTATTTCCTTACTGAAAGCTGGAGGTCACTTCTTTTGTTCCAAAAAGGGAGAAAAATCCAGATGCAAAGTAACTTCACCAGCATGGCTTAAGGTAAAGGCTAAAAGTAACCATAACCTGCTTTGGTAATTTAACATTCAATTTAGAGAATACTAAATGGGTGAATATATTCCAGAGGCTGGAAATTTTGATAATTTAATTTGATTCAATTAACTTCTCCATACAAGACCCATTGCAACCCATTGCTGCAATGAAACAGCTGAAAATTTTGGTGAAAACAAAAGTTGGGTTTTTTTAAGCTCAATTGAATTGAGCCCTTTATTTATTATACAGAAAATAATACTAATTTACTATGGGGGGGAAAAAAAAGGGCTTTATTTTAAAAACTGCATTAAGAAAATAATTCTGATAGAGTACAAATAGAGTTGGAGAGTTGAGTTGGGGTAAGTTTGCCTAACTCTCAGCTTTCTGTTCCAAGTATCATTTGGTTCTGCATTAGCTCCAGTAAAAAAGCCCAAACAGCCCACCACTAAAAAACCTGTATTCTCCTGAGTGAGTTTCCATCTGCAACTGATTGAAGTCCTGCAAACAATTTGTGTGATGATTCACAGGAAGGAATAGGTTTCAATTCCTTCTCTTTGAGCTGTGTTAATTTGGCAAGGAAATGGGAGCAAAACAATGTTAGTCACATAATTATGAGATCTGGCCTAGAATTCCCACTGAATATATGTGATGAGAAGTGAATTACCTTTCATATGCGTAGGGTTTTTTTTAAAAATTCATATAGCGTAATAGAAACAGTGACTAAATTAATTAATTACAGGGTTTTATATAATAAAAAACAACAAAACAACTCCCCAAAATAGTTTCACTGAATTTTATGACATCATCCTATTTATATTGTATATACTCTCCATTCCTACAGTTGTCAGAAAACCTTATTTTTATGAAATTGATGGGGTTTGCCATTTGGTTTCCGAGGCCCGAGGACACATTTAGGACCCGTTTCCAGGTCTCTGCAATTTTCATTGCAATTTGAAAGAGTCAGGAGCTTTTTTAGCTTTGGGTTCTTAGAAAAGACTTCAATAAGTTATAGGTAATTTCTTCAGTATACTTAAGTTTTAAATAAAAAGCCAACCATATTACTCTTCACAGGTAGTTACGTGCACACCAGCAATCCGTGACAAAATCAGTCAATGCTGGAGCCAAACTGAAAAGTTTGGTTTGCTGATGTAGCTGCATTCCCAGAGCTGCTGCTAGGATGTAGTTAGTTACATTTACGAAACTTGCTTTTGTTTTGGGGATGTGGCTTGTGGCTTCCCAACCCTAGCGCGATTCTCAGTCTCGTATCAGCATTTTCTAGCGCAGCTCGCTGGCATTCCTGTACGAGCAGGTAGAGAAGGAGCAGCTCCGCCGCGACTGAGAAAAGCCGAGGGGCGACAGCGCTTGGCGGGCGGGCGGGCGAGTGCTCAGTTCCTGGGCCGCCCTCGGGGGAAGCTTTCGGGCTGCGGCTGTTCGCAGTGGTTCCGCGGTGCCGGCTGGCAATCGCGGCCGCTCTCTGAGGGGCTCGGCAGCCGCTGCGCCCGGCGCGCTGAGGGGAGCCCGGGAGCCGCCTCCCTGCCCGGGCGGCGCGGGGGTGTCCCCGCGGCCGGAGCCCCTCACGGGCGCTTGGCCCATCNGCGAGGGGCAGGCGCGCACTAGCAGCGCTCGGTGCTCTCTTGGCAGAAAGTCCTGGAGCTGAAGGAGGATTTGAAGCCGGTCCCCGCTGCCCCTGCGGAGCAGCAGCCTCGCCCAGGTCAGGACGCGCTGCTCCGCGATGGCTTTGGCGCGGGGCGAAGGGGCGCGGGTGCCTGCGGGAGACGGGCTGGAAGGGAGGGTGGGAGCCGCTCGTGTGCGACAGGCGAGGCACAGGCGTACAAAGGAAGCGATGGGAACATCCTCAATGGAGCCTCCGGCGGCTTCCCCCGCCAGGAAGGGGCTGCCGGCGCTGCCACTTCGGGAACTCGGTCGCTGAAAACTGCAGCGCTAATGGGGAGGGGGAAAAAAAAGAGAAAGAGGTTTCTGTACGGGTCGTAGAGATGCGCTTGGGAAGGGTGGAAAGAAGGAGCAGTACTTAATGTAGTAAATTTTAATGCAAATTACAGAAATATTTTTTTTTGGGGGGGGCGGAAACAAAACAAAAAAAAATCATAAGGAAGCTTATCTGTGAGAAGGTACGTAAGTTGTTGTAGGGCATTTAGCAAAAGATGAGAGAATGTTTTCCCAGTTCAGTTATTCTGAAGTTAGAGTTGAATTTTGGTGGCATGCCACAGGAAAGGATTAAAGAAACCTCAAACAAATCGAGCACACACACAAAAAAAAAAGCCAAACAAAAAGCTTTCCGGAGTAATCTTTTATCTTATGCAGGTAATTCCGTTTAAATAATTTCCTGCATGGGATACTAAAGGTGGGACTTTTTTTGCAGAAGACGAAAGAAGTGTAACTCCACATGTTTTATGGTCTTCTGTAAAGTATTTTATAGTGAACGATCACACATGTTAAAAAAAAACCCTAACGAAAACTCAGAACTAACCACAACTAATTGCCAACTTTGTTTTTGTTTAACCTGGAGTTACACTCATGTTACTTTCTAACCTTAAAAGGGTTGAGTTCTGCGACTCCTCTACAAATAAACAACGCAAAATACTTTTTAAGTATAAGGGGGCTGAGTAGGAGGAAAGGAGATTTAGGGATGGGATTTTTATCTTTTCCTGTTCCTGGGAACAGGTCGGCTTTCCCAGGACCTGACTGCGGTGTCTGTGTGCAGAGTGAGCAGAGCATTCGTTCACCTGTCTGTCCATCTGTCTGGCTCGATGTGAGAGGGTTTATTGTTCTCCCGCAGAAGGAAGTGGGCAGCAGGACAGGGCAGAGAGTGACGGGGAGGAGCGAGAGGAGCAGGACAAGGGGGAAAGCAGAGTGGGTACACAGCAAGAGCTGGGGCTGGGCTGATGCTGCTGTACAGTCACCAGTGCAATTAAAGCCTTTTGGTTTCAATAGCTTGTTCTCATGACAGAGAAGAGCCTGGGATAGTCCTGTAATGAATGCAGAGGGACTTCTTTATTAGGGCTGCCGGATGCTGAGGGACTCTGTGGTTTCCTCTGGAACTTGGGTTGGCAGAGTGAAGGGCGCAGTCAGTCACCTTTTCAGGTTTTCCTAAATTCCAGTGGGAATGGCTCCCTCAAACTTGAGCATGTAGCAGTCTTACCAGTCTCTAAGCTGGGCTATCAGCTCGTTGTTCGTGTCCTCTTGGAGGTGATCCTGGGAGCAAACAAATGTGCATGAGAGTGGTTACCAGGAATTTCTCCACTGTCTTGGATCCTGCCACTTTTTTTGGATTTTTAAGTTAATGTTACCGATGGTTTTGAACTACTTTAGGCTATTCTTGTGATAAGCATTTCAATGTTGGTGTATCAGAGAACATCTGTGGGAGAACGGTATGAAAATAGTACCGCTAAGCTTTAAAGAGAAAAAGGGCTCCGTGGGACCCTGTTTTGTCTGTGGCTTACAAGAAGTCACAGTTGCTGTTGGTTTTCTTACTCGGGTATTAGTTTCACAGAATTCAAGTGAGTAGAGTTCTGAGAGGGTTGCTGAAAAGTACTGTTTCCAGGAGATTCAGCTTTCATCTCTGTTTGCGTGCTTATTCGCAGCTTTTCCTCCTTGGTGTTATGTGTCCTTTTCTGTATCTTTCAGCTCTTGGTTCCGTCCCAGTGTAAGCCAAGGGCTGGGCCCACAAAGAGTTGAGGCTGGCACTGCTACTGACGCTCAGAGCCTCAGAGTGCCCATTTCCTTACTTGTCACATCTCTGTGCTTTGTCACTGGCAGGGACACTGGCACTGCTGTTCACTGCCCCGGGGCTGATCCAGAGGAAAAGTAGCACTCGCTTTTAGCAAGTTCGTTTTCAGCCACATCTGCTCGTTCTCCTGTCAAATTAATCATATGTGGTGTGATAAGTTAATCATGTGCTGGTGTGTCTGGAGAAGGGGGTGCAATGACTAGGAGGTGAAGGGTGGGAGAAGAATGGGGACATTTTCTTAACAACATTGCCATTTTTCCCCACCGTAAGTAGTTCCTTGGACCACGTGTACAGTAGCTCCTGTGAGCACAAAACGATTTTCTGTTTTATTTGACCACAACTGTATCTTCAGAATGTGAAAATTTAGTATTACCTTTTATAAAAGTTCTATTATACTTTCCCTATAGCTCATGTTTGTCTTTTGTTCATTTGTTCGGTTTGGGGTTTGGTTTGGTTTTTCCCTCCCATTCCCCCATGCTATATAAAAGTTTTCTTGGGCAAGGTTTTCATCAACCAGTGTACATCAGAAAAGTTTTCTTACTCTACTGCAGCAGTTTTTGCCTTGGTGTGTATTTCTCTGAAATGATTGCTTATTATTTCTCTCTGCATTTGCATGTTTTAAGTTCTTACAAGCTACTAATGAGGGTATAGTCATAATATTTTTCAATTTTCTGGGTCTAATTATTGGCCGTTTTTTATACTCTTCACTTTCTTCAGTTTATCTGTGTTTCTTTGTCAGAATGAGATCCAATATTCCACGAGTTGGAGTGATTCATCTCTCTTCGTTGCCTGAAGTGATATCTGAGCCCAGGGAGATTAAAGTCACATTGGTCATTTTGCAGAAGCATTTGCTTTGCAGACAACTCTCTCATTTGTTCTGCATTCTCACTCTTGCCTGTCTTTAGCTCCTGCTTCTGGGAGGGCTTTTTCCTTGATGTTATCTCTGGGTTTTCTTTGCATTACTTTTTCCACATAGTCCTATTTGTCTCCCTTGCTTCTTTCCTTTTTATTTTCCTTTGCACTAACAACCCTTTGATTTGCTTCTACCCACTAGTGTTCATAAACTTCATTCTGTATCACCCACAAGTTTCATTAAGATTACTTTGAGTCACTCTTAGATCTTTAAGATGTCAATGACAACTGGATTGGCAAAAATCTCTGCAGCAACCCAGTAGATGCCCTCTGTATTTGTTGGTTCTGTTTGTGTCTCATATATCATTATGCATAGTTTTGAAACCATTAGTTAATTTTCTAATAATATGATCAGTGCTCTCCAAAGCAAATCTGAAGTAATTTTTAGCTGTGATTTCCATAGAGAGTAACAAATACTGTTTTAAATCTGAACTTTCTTTGTTTTGCACAGTGTTCTCTTCATTCTCTACCTTCACAGCATTTCTGTCTTCCTTTGAGGAGCAATCACGTTTATTAGGATTTACAGTAACGGATGCTCCTCTCTCTCCAACTTCTGCCAACAGCCATGCTAAATAAATGCCCGGCGTGTTCCTTTGTAGAGCCTTGTAAAAAACCCATGAGTTGGCATGCATGGAGCTCATTACAAGATCTGAGACTAGATTATGAGAAAGAGATTTTTAGGGGTAGGAGGTGGTGTTTTGAGTTCTTGGGGTTTTTTGGGAACGGGGGGAGGGTTTGGTAGGTTTTTGGTTTTATTGTTCCTGCTGGTTGGGTCCTCCTTTTTCTGGAGATGATGCAGTCACTCCTCTTTGTTTTTAACACCATATGAATTAGACGTTTTCCTGCTAGGGAGGGGCAGGTTTTCCAGTTCCTGGTGCTACTGGCTGAGTCACTGGCTCTGTTTTTCTGTTCTCTTGTAGGTTTATAATTACCTTGTTCTTACCTTCGTTAGAATGTGATTGCCAAAGGATAGGTGTTTTACACTCCTGTATTTCTGAGACTTGAGAGCCAGTGGCTTTCAGAGCCTGGGTGCAAGCCTTCGAAACATCTGCTTTGCTATTGCCAAAGAGAAAATAAATCAGCAGAGCCCTCAAAGTGCCTCCCTTCCAACAATATGGTAACCATTAATGACAGATGTCCAGGCAAAGTGTAATCTCTTGTAACCTGGACCACTTGAACTAAGGAGGAAATGTCAAGAGAACATGGAGCAGGTGTATACTGAAATGGAAAGGGAGGTTTTATTAATGTGTCCTAAGTTCATTTTACCTGATCATACATCTCTGTAGCTCATTGAAATAAAGCTCATTTGTACCAGACTAGCAGGACTTTTGGCAGATCTTTTGCTTTGAAAATCTTGTCAGCTTAGGTGGGGGGGAAAAGGTATAAAAGAGAGGTTTGTGTAAGAAGGTTATATCCAAGCACACTCACTGCTCTTTGAATTATCTTTATAAAAATAAAATTTTAAAATTCTATTTACTTCTCTGCTCCCACTTGTTTGTGAAGGATCTATGTGATCAGAAGAAAATAACTTCAGGCAGAACATGTAAATCTCTTGCTTCTAGCCATCCAGTATGCGAACTGAAAAACAGACTAGCAGCATTGTTTTCTACTGCTTTTGGTCACAGGTTGTATTTGTAAGAACATGCTTTAAAAACTGGAGCAGAGTTTGTGGTTGACTGTGTCCCTTTAAGAATCTAGTTTTGCTTGGCTAGCTGCCCTTGTTCTCCTGTAGATTAATCCAGCAGAAGGTATATAACCTGTTGACCTTCCTGGTGAGAAGGGTCTGGAAGGGCAAAGAGATAAATCAGAAGGTTCATGCTTTCCTGCAATATCTGGAGAGAAGTTTGTTTTTCAGTTTTTGACTGTTTTGTTTTGTTTTATTTTTTGTTTTGTTTTGTTTTTATGACTGATTGACCCTGTTTGAGGGTTGGGGTTGTAATTAGATTCTCATTATTTTCATTTGCTTTCTGTGAAATCACTGTGTGTTCAGCAGGTTGGATATGATGGCATGTTTATGGCACATTTAGAGAGAGGAAAGACTTCTGAACTCAAAATTACACTGGTCTGAGTTGAGGGTGGCTTTAGAGTCTTGTGTATCAAACTGGTAGGAACACTGGAATCTGGTAAAAATGTCTGGTGTGTGTTTGCTAGGAGATTTCACAGTGTTTCGAAGAAAGGTTGACTTTCCTCAGTGTCAGCCTTAAGGGCTAAATGTGTAAACAGCGAATGTTGACCTGCTGCATGATGCAGATGGAGTGTGTACTCCAAAACTGAACTGTGGTGGTGTCTGAATACCCCAGGAGAGCTGGGGTAGTAGCCATGGGTAGGGCTCATTCAGGTGTTTCATTGTGGCTGTTCTTTACTTAGACATTGCCTTATGATGAGCATCAAACCCCTCAAAGCTCACGCCTGACTACTACTAAAATCAAAGCACAGGTGTAATTGGTTGATTGAAGGAGGAAAAGTCAAAAGAGCGCTGAGCATTGGTCCCATTTTACATACCTGTTCTGCCTGTTAGTGATTCGCATTTGTGTTGAGCCTTTAGTAGAGGGCTTAGCCCTGACCAGACAGGTCATGCCCACAACACAGACCACCTGCAAGCACTGCAGGAGGGGAAATCTGACTGCATTCATGGGTCGTGTGATCACTGTCTGTCTATTCTCTTGTAAGCCCAGGTTCAGCTACCTCTTTCTTGCTTGGACTGACTGGTTTTGGAGCTAAACATTTTCACTTCATTGGGGATGGTATCTGCAAACATCTGTCTCTTGTCTGAGCTCATGTTCAGCTCTGACATTAGTGTCATTGGAAGCTGGGTATGTCACAGTTGTGAGGCTTTGCTGGAACATCTGTCTTTGAGTCCTAGACAAGAGATTGAAAGATGTCATGAGCAGGATGCAGGATTAGGAAATAAGAATTTGCTTTTGATATCATAAAGTGGGCTTGAGTCTTAGCTTAGAGTTACCTGTCAGCAAACCCTTAAAAGATGCTCTATTTCCAGAGTATCAAACATGAGCCCCTCTGAAGTTAACACTTGCAATTACAAATCACTTTTAAAGTGAATCTTTTATTGCCTTGAAGTTCTTCTCTAGATTTTAACCTTATTCTGATTCTACTGGGTGATTCACTTACATCTTCATGATCTATTTTTTTCCATAGGTAAAATGGGTTTTTTTGAGCCCATTGGTGAGATTTTCAGGACAACTGGATTTTGGCAAGGGTTGGCAACTCAGCTGAGTAGGAGCAAGGGTTTTTTAGGTTGCTGTTGAAGATTCCCTATCCTTTAATAAGGATAAGTGAATAACTCATTGGGGAAAATGCTCATCTTGATTTATTTCTGTCTCTAGCTTGGTTTGGTAATCCTCAAGTCATTTTAGTCGGTCAATATCTTGTACTTGTCCGTACATAAAAGGACAGTTAAAATTTTCCTGTGTTAGCTAACACTACCAATGCTTCTGTGATAGAAAAGGGATGTGATTATTTGACTCCCTCCTGGTTCCTTGCTTTCTAACCAGCTCCAGGGAGAATGACTCCTGGTGACTGCTGCTGCTAGCACGAGGGTGACTAACCATTTTCACCCTGCCACAACCTTCATTCTGTTTGGGAAGCTGTGAAACACATGCCACATGTCTTGGAAAGTCAGGGAGAATGGGAGCTCTGGGAACAGTTCCCACATGGGAGATAACAGTGACTCCCCAGGAATTCCACTGTTCCTTTGAGAGCTGGGGCCAGCCCAGTGCGTGGCTCAATCCCAGCACAACCTGGCAGTGTCAATCTCTGCTGACCTTGCTGGCTCGTTTTTCTCTCCCAGCTGAGACATAAATCACCCAGTAGTCATTTTGTCAGTCCCAGGCTGGTGGCCTTGTGATGTGGCCTGTGCCTGGGAGCTGGGCATGAGCTGCCCATTGCTCAGGGTCTGTCCACAAGCTGGCCACCCCTAGACTAGTGGGATCAGAACTGGCCTTTGGGGTTTTTTCCTCCCCTCCTTAGGGCAGCAAGGCTCTGTGCTCTGTTTCCTTTATCTCAAATGTAACTGATTGGATGCTGTGCAAGGCCACACACAGCCTTATCTCATCACATCCTGTTTGACTGCATTATCCAGGGCTGCACTGATAGAAGTTCTCCTCTCTCCTTGCTTTGATTTATATCACTCTGCTGGACACTACATCCTCTCTCTGTTTCAGCCAGAGCTAGCTACTGCAATCATTTTAGAGTTGTTTTGCTTTGCTCGGGAAGTCAGGTGCCTTTTGAACAGCAGCTGCTGCAGGGCAGTTTCGGTGTAGCAAACAAACCAAGCTTGATTTTGTGTTAGGCAGTGTGACAAGCATTCAGCTGGAGCCCAGCCTCCTGCTGGATATGATCTGAGGCTAGTAGTGCTTGTTCCTTTGTAAACCAGTCTCCTTCAGTGTTGAGACAGAGACAAAAATCTCACCATGCAGCCTGTGGATGTAATGAGTGTATTACCTTGCCCAATACAGAGAGGCACATCTCAGTTCTTTCCTCCTTGTCTGGCACTACTGCTAGTTAAGAGCTTTTACACCCTCTACAGCCAGTAACACTTACCTTAACTGGTTTTATTCATGGGATTATGCAGCATTACTCTGCTGTCCTGGGTGGATGGGGCTATTCACAGGGAATAGCCGGCATTACTCAGGATTGCAGGAGGCCCCGGGGCAAAAAGTGAGATGACAGCCAGGCTCAGTCCCTGGCTAAGCTGTTTGGAGTGTTTGAGGGAAGCCCTCTCAAGGGGTCCAGTGAACTGCACCCACCCATCTCCACTGTCTGCAGGCTGCTTTAATGATGGGAGTGCAGCTCCTAAGGAGCTGATGAACTGGTTGCTGTCTGGTGCTGCAAAAGTGCTGGTACCTTCCTAGGTACAGTTCAATGCCAGCTGGTCTTGCCTCAGTTGCATCTTAATTTTTTTCCGTAGAGACCCTATGAACGTGTCCATGATTTTTCGTCCTCTTTTGCCTGTGAGCTTTAACAAATCTGATTTATTGTCGAGTACCCACTTTCCCACCTTTTCCCTTTCCAGTATGTTTTTCCTGCAGTCTTTGAGTTGCACCGTCTGGGAGCTACTCATCTACTGATTGCACTCATTTTTCTCTTTCAGAGGAACTAAACTATTCTTGTAGTGTCCCATAGAATTTCCCAGTCTTCTTCCTCTGGTAAGTTTGAATGCTACCTTCCATCTCGTACCTTCAGCAATAGGTTTCTTCGTATTCCAGACTGTTGCTTCCCTAAAGCCAAATCTCCTTGTATCACTGCGTTGTGTAAGTTCATTTGCTAGGTGTTCTAGATGGGAGTAAGGGGCTGGTTGCTCCTATTTCCAGGTTTTCTTATTGTTTTTTATATGTATAATAAACTCTATAGCTTGAGCAGCAGGATATCATCTGCAATGGCTGAACTAATTTGTTTTATGAGATACGAAAATTTTGGGGTTCGAATCCTCTGCAGTAGCAGTACTTGGCTCATGTTACCAAGGTAGTGAATACCGGAATTGCTGGGGTTTGTTTGCATTTCAATGACACCGAAGAGTACCTGTGAGGCGAAGAAATCCCTGCCACCACAGCCTGCAGTTCGAGCGAAAGAGGCCGAGGGTGCAGGGATGTTCTTGGTAAGGCACAGCGACTTTGTCGGAGCACAGCCAGCTCCGGAGCAGGAGTGGATCCGCCTGGCAGACTCGGCAGGGCTGTGCTGGCAAGCGCCCCTGCCCGGGAGGGGTGAGTGAATGGGGACCTCTCTGCCCGGGATTGTGCTCGCTTCCAGCCGGGAAAGGGGGTGGCCATGGACTGGGGGGAGTCTCTTGGACAGAGCAGCTCTAAGAAAACTGAACAGCTGGAGGCAGCTGGCTGCAATTTTTCGCATCCTCAGGAAAGTATGATTTTGTGTTGAGCAGCTGCCACAAACACTTAAGAGGGAGCTGTTACCAACAGTAATGACTGAGGGATTAATATTAGAAAGCAGATGTGTCAGACTATGAAATCTGTTTAAAGATGTGTTCCCTCTCAATGAGACCTTGCTGAAGGGCTCTTGGCAGCTGTCTAGCCCCGCAGGATCTCTGAATCTCAATGAGATACCCTGTGTGAAAGGAAAGAGAGTGTTGAAATTATCAGAATTGGAACACTTAAACCAAAGCTGCTGGAGCTGAAAGATTCTTCTGTTTTCTCCATGGTTTTGCTTTGTGAACTACTCATGAAGAAGTGACCGTGGCAGAAAGAAAAACAGGGCACAGGAGCAAGTAAGAAAGAGTATTTGGACAGAGGGAAACATTAGGAAGGAAGATAGAGATACGGTGGTGAGGAGGTGGATGTGCTCTGAGGAGCCTTGTGTCTTTGAACCTGGGAGAGAACTCATGACTGGACCCTACAAAGACAGATAGTTTATCATCTCTCAGTAAAATAAGAGTGAGATCAGAATGAAGAAAACTGTAAGGTACAATCGGAGAAGTACAAAAGCCAAGGAGTGGGGCATAAGTTCAGGCTGAGGGAATCCCAAGTCCTGTGACCCCTGGCAAAACTTGCTATTATGAATATGGGACAACATCCTCTGACTACTCTCTTCCTAAAAACTGTGCCTGGTGAGGGAATTCAGATGGGAAAGGAATTGTCTGAGTGTGTCTGGGATGTCTGTTTAGTGCTTTCAGAATCAAATTCCCTCCACATCAAAAGAAAGCTTTGTGATTACAAACTTCCACAGGCAGAACTTAAAAAAAAATAAATTATCAAGTACTAAAATATTTAATAACATTAGAACATTCAGTAATACAAATCATATTAAAGTTACCAGGCTGTATACATGTAGTTACTATTGAATGGAAGCTAAGCAAATGGAAAGTAGATGCTAACTGAAACACTTGTATTTTGTTAAAGAAGTTACTAATGAATGTTACTGAAACTTTTCTTATAAGACTGTTCAACATTCTTGTGCTTCTGAAAAATCCCGTTTTTCACCTGATTGCTCATTCAATGGGAAGCGATTCCATTGCCGGTTTTCCAATTTGTCACCTGAATAAAGTGATTTACCACAGGGTTTAGCCCCCAGCTTCTTTTTAGTTTGCTTTGCTCAGTTTAATGAGCGGTCATCTTGGCCACCACTGATTTCAGATCAGCAATGCAGGAAACAGAAGGCTTGAAAGTGTTCAGCCAAAGCAGAGACCAGCAGATCAGATAGCATTCAACCAGGACTCCCTGAATTTCTGTTTATTGCTTCTGGCACAGAGTACTGCCTGGGACTGCACATAGACTTTACTAGTTAAGCAACATTGTTTAAGAAAATCTTGCATCTTAGTGATCTAGAGGCATAGTTATAAGGATTTCTGTGGCTATTTCAGTCTATGTAATTTCTTCAGGAGTTATCAAATAGAAGTAAAATTTTTGCTGGTGTGCTCTGTAATCTGAGTAATCACAGAGGTTTTAGCTGGAGATGGCCAAACAGCCTTGATTTTATTGTCTGTATGGTTCCCCACTTTTCATCATCCATCAGAAATAGCTTTAGTACCAAGAAGGGAAAACAGAATCAGAACCCAAGGTGTAGAAAAGTTGGGATTGACCACAGTAGCACATTTTGGTTCTTGCTGTAGCTTGAGATAAAATGAACATTGCTGGGCAAGGCATGAAAAGTAAAAAACATTAAAAAAAATGTGTCTAGTCACTTCAAGATTTATATAATTTCTTTTGTCACTGCTATTATGTTGCACATCTCCCTTGATTTACACCAACATGAGAGAAAGTTCATATATTTGGTCTCTTGCACTGTGGACTTCTCTTAATGTACAAATGACATCTGCTCAAGTTGATGCAACTTTTCTTTAAGGTTTGGAGAACAGAGTCTGGAGAGTTGATACTGCACTGAACAGGACATGTTTTCTCCTCCAGTTATTCTGGAGCTTGGGTTAGAATGGACTCAGATTTTCCTGTGACACCAAAAGTACTTGGTGCAGATTTTACAAGCTTTGTAAAATATGAAATGATCAGACAGCAGCTCCCAGGGTGTGAATGTGGTGGGGGAAGGAGAGTTATACTTCAGATATATTTATTTCGTTTCATCTTAAGAGTGTGCCATGATGAAATCATCTGCTAGGTATTCCCCTGTGTCAGCATGGACACTAAGGAGATGAAAATAACTGTATTCAAAGTAGATGCTTTTTATGGTCGTGGTGGTCCTTCAATTCCCCAGGGAGATGGCTTTGCCTGTGTGCATTGCTAGGGGATTTGGCTCGACAGCAGAGCTGTAGCTTCCAGTGGCTGTGGCTTTGGGAGTCCTGTAGTTCAGCAGCTGGAGATGTTTTCACTTGGTGTGAAGCCTGCTGGCTCGTGTGAGATTTGCAGCTCCCAGTGCAGGTGGTATGATGAATACACTTGCTGTCACACCTTGCGTTTCGTTCTGAACCCTCCATTTTTCAGGCTGTCATCACAAGTTAAAACCAGCCCGGGCCTTGTGTTTGTGGCTATTTTAATGTGTGTTAACTATGGAGGGTCTGCAGAGCCTCCAGGGCCTAGGGGTGCTTGGTGGAAATACGAAAGGAAGATTTGGAACAGGTAACTTCTTTTTCCCTGTCAGTGTCTCCCTGTGGAAAACTTACTCCTCTACACTGATTCCCCAGCAGGACAATCTCTTAAATACACATGTAATTTTTTATTAGCATCTGTCAGTGAAAGGGAGAATGTTTGGTGAAGGAAGCAACTGTTACCCTTCATTTCAGGGTCTCTTAAAGTCACATTGCCGGCCCCGGTGCCATTCACAGTGTGCGTGGGATGCCTGTCCCAGTGGTAAAAAGCCAAATGTGAGTTCCCCTTTCTGCCCCTCTCACCTCCCATTTTATTATTTCTTTCCATGTTCATTAAAGCTCTGAAACTGTATACCATGGATCAAGAGGGTTGAAATAATCTCATGTAGGTGCTGAAATGGATGGATGGGCAGTGCTAGGCCATTCCAGTGATTTGTGTGTTTCAATCACTCTCACAGGAAATAAGTCATATACTGGGTTTTCTAAATGTCTTTGTGAACCATTTGTTAAAATGCTGCACAGTACACTGTGTCTAGTTATTTGTCTAATTTATATTGTCTATATTGAAATTAGTCAAAGGCACAGTATTGTCTTACTTGTTACCTTAGCTTTTGGTGGTTTTTGGAGATGTATAATATGTTGTAATATCTACTGCTGTCTAAAAGTCTTTAGGGAGCAGTAAAACCTTCTGAGAGCAAGCGTTGTTAAATCTTTACAATTTCAGGTTTTGAAATGTTAAAGTTCTTAAAAACTTAGCTTTTTAAAAAAAAATATATCTGGTCATTATGGTCTTGGAGAAGATTTAAAAAACCCAAAATCCAAAGTGATAAGAAACTAAAGAAAGACTTGAAAAAAGTTTGTCAGAAAAGTGTCTGGTGCTATGAGCCCTGAATTTTTGAAGTTAGGAGGTTGAATGAATGGGCTGCTTTCCCCCTACATCAACTAGGGCATGGCATAACTGCATGTATTTTTTTTTATAACTAGTTTTTGACAAATACCACACCCAAATTTTCCACTCTGCCCCTTTACATTTTCGCTGTAATATTTCTGTGCTGGAGTTGTCATGTCAGACTTCTCTCTACTCATGGTCAGTGCAAGTTTGATGATTCTGTTGCTCTTGGAAAAAAGTCCTTATTCTGATTTTCTTGCTACCCAGCTCCATGTGGTGATAGAGAGGGAAGTTTTGAACTCTGTCTGGGTTCTCAAATGCTGGCTTGTGAACATTCTTTGTAGCCCAGATAACAAAGCTATTAAAATGATAAACAAATGGCTTTGGGATTAAGGCAGAAGAATGATCTGTGTCTTTAGAAGCCATTTATCTCCAGCCTGGTTGACTGGAAGTGTCTGTGTGGTCTGAAGTCAATTTCTCAGTGAGTGTTTCAGCAGCTCCACTCAAAGGTTTCAGCCTCTTCTGTAGGCTATTTGTAAGTAGACTATAATTTATCGTAGTTTTCAAGAGCTAGCAGCTGTCTGCTAAGGTTCAGTGAGAAACCAATTTCTGCTCCTGCCCAGTGGCAAATCTAATAGCCTGGGACTAGTAAAAGTGATGAAGGGGCAGAGGAAACTGAAGGAATTTGCCCAAAGTCGTTCTGAAGATGAGCAGTAATAACAGGCTGAGCACCTTGGTTCTTGACCTGCAACCTGGTGCTGTTTTCCCTGCACTCCTGGTGCCTTCTGCTCCTGCCAGGATACAGTTCTGGGATTTGGAAGACTGCATTAAACTGTCTGGCTCCAGGACTGGCTTTTTTAAAAGCACAGCTGATCCTCGAGAAGAAATGCCAGTGTTAGAAGTGACACCAACTACTAACTCTGATCCAGTGAAACAGGATCTAAGAAAATTTCAACCCCAGTGCTCAGTGATGACTGCATAATTCATCACTGCTTTATTTTGTATAATCTTTCACACAGACTGAATCCCTCTATATGTGCTTCAGAAAGTTAAATAACAGTTACACAGATAATGACAGTGCAGGGAGAAAGAAATAAGGCAGATAAAGACACGAGAAGGCTCCTCTGAGGAGAGCTGGGAAGTGACAGAGTTAATAAGCCAAAGAGAGATTGGAGCAGGCTGCTTATCAGAAGGATTTGAAGAAAATGTTTTCATCTCAACCTAAATAAAAACCCAACATGTGGTTGAGTTATTGTTTAATATAAACTTGAAGTAAAACCCCTCCTGAGATTTTTTAAAATTTTCTTTTTTATTTTTTTATTTAGTATCTCATTTTTCCTAGCGAGGAGGGTTTCTAACTGCCCGCTGGGATGTGCTTGCCATTGCAGGTTCTGAGTCTGCTCCTCCGCGTGGCACCTTGGAGTTTCTAGCTGGCACCATTACCTCCAACGAGTGGAGTTCTCCCACCTCCCCTGAGGGGAGCAACGACTCGGGGGGCAGCGAGGCCTTGGACAAACCCATCGACAATGACGCCGAGGGCGTGTGGAGTCCGGACATCGAGCAGAGCTTCCAGGAAGCGCTAGCCATCTACCCGCCATGCGGCCGGCGCAAGATTATCTTGTCAGACGAAGGCAAGATGTATGGTAAGGAGAGAGAGAGGCCACAGCACAACGCTCCAGGCAGCCTGCCCTGTGCCCCAAATGATGCTCTGAGTGAATTCCCTTCTCTCAGGCGTTCCCAGGCTGGTGCTGTTGGTTGCCTCGAGTTGTATTTAGGAAAACGGTTGTGAAGATTTTGACATTCACAAAGCAGAAAGAGTGGCAGGTATCTTTTTCAGAGGGCTTTCCAGAAGGTGTATCTTAGGGCTGAGCATGCTACTGAACTAATCTTTATATATAAATATATAAAATCTAATGGTTTCAGGGTGTGACAAAGCCTGTCTTTTATGGTATCTCTCACTGCTGTCTTCACTGCTCTTGTGGGAGGTAAGAGCAGGTAATGGTCTGCATGTCTGGTGCTACAGGACAGAAGTTCAGCCCTGAACCCCTGAATGGCTCTGCTGCTGTGCAAACACCTACACTTTGTTAACTAGCTACACTTTTCAGATCTTAAGGGTAGAAAGTTAAGGGTACTCCTTTTCATTGTAGTTGGCCTTCTCATAGCCCTGGCACAAGTATATTTCACTTGTGGGTTCTTCTCCTCTAGCTAACTAGATACCCAGCCCTGAATACAGAGAGGCTCTGGCTTGCAGTTGCAACAGGAGTCAGCTTTATACATGGCAGACACGCTTTTGAATTGGGTTTTTTGACCTCTTCCACAGTTAAAATTTCTTATGATTTTGTTAACAGAAGGCTGTTCTGGCCTGGATTCTCTTGCTGAGTATTGCAAGAAGCCACCTGGTACTTCTGGGACTAAAATGCAAAGCAAAGGCTGAATATCCAGTATTTGGGTTTAAGTCCTAAGGTGGACCGTTTCTCAAAACACTAGCAAGGATCTTATGGAAAACAGTTTCTCTTTCTTTTTCTACTCAGTCAGTGCTTACTTTTTTTTGTCTTCCATACATTGGAATCTGCGAGTCTTCACAGGCCCCATCATGGGATGCTCAGTGCATGCCCTGGAGCTTCCTACGGAGCACTTCACAAGTCATCCTGCAGGTTTTTTGTCCACCCATCAGGCCATTGTTCGCTGGGCAAGGGAATGGATTGCTCTGACTGTGGGAGCGTGGGTGGGGTCTTGTTTACATGGCCTTATCTACAATGGATGGTTTTACTGGGTACACACATCATTGTACCTGGGAAGAGCAATATAGGTCTGAGATTAGCCCTGAGGCTAATCTAGGGCCAGTATTCTTCGACAGACATCAATTCCTGCTCTGTGCTGGCACAGATGTTTTTGTGGTTGTGCTATGGAACCAACCAGGGAACTGATAAAGCTTAAAACTAACAGGGTCAGAAAGGGGAAAATAAGTGAATTTTAATTTGGATACTGCTGCTCGTGCTGGTATTTAGATAAAGGATGGTGAGATTGGGAATGAGCAGGCAGGACTGAGGTTGAAGTAAGACTGCTTCTTTAGGGACTGATGCTTGCTTAAAATGATACTCAGACTAAAATATTACTTGAGAATCCACCCCATGATTATTAAGCATAAACTAGTGACATGCTCCTTGTTGCTCTATGTCTGCACTGCTTTTCATGATGGGTGACTTTTAAAATTACTAGTGAAAAATTACAGTTGTGTTTTAAGACTGTATTAATTTACTGAACATTTTGCACCATCCCTGAAGTATTTCAGCTTTGGAGTGAATATGTCAGAACAGAGAGTGAAAGACAAGAAAAGAAACCAGAGCAGAAGTGAAGTACAAAGGCTTTGGAAACCAATGAGACTTAGCTGGGCCTGGCTTAGTTAAGTGCTGTTAAGTGGAACACACCTAGCTGACTGGACTGGTGAACTGCAGAAGGTAAATAACCCTCTTGCAGGGTGAAAAGTTTAGGGTAGGCTCAGGGAGAAGTCATGAGCTTTTCTGCAAGCCCTCCCCCACTACTCCAAATGGGATAGTGTCCCTGCTTGCCTCCAGTGCACCTGTTCCTAGTGTGGATGGTTGGTTCAGTGTGCTCCTGACAGAACCCAGGCACTGATTTATGCTCTCCTTTGCTTACTTGTCTCCAGGATCCAGGCCAAGGAAGCAGGGTCCTGTCTGGGATCTATAGAAAGATACGACCGGGCAGGGAGAATAAATATAGTCCCTGACTTCATCTTCAGTACTCACAAGCCAGCTTGTGGAACAGGGCAGGCTCAATGTGGAGCTGGCCCTGCCTCTGAAGGGATGGTTATTTATCCACCCTGTGACCGACTTGCACAGAGCTCTCTGAAGCAAGGGGTGGGGTGTTACAGAGAGCTGTATATGCCCCTTTCCCCTGACAAAACTGTGGGACCGTTTTGCTGTTTCTCACTGAGGAGTGGCTCACGTGGTACTATAGTTAGGGGCAAGATGTTCCAGGTCTCAGAATCTGTATGCAATTTATATATGCTTCTCATCTTTTGTGAGGCAACCTGTTGACAGTTCAAAGTTGTCAGCTTTTAGCTAAAGTGTGCTGAGGCAATATGAAGAATTTTTACTGTTTTGCTTTAATGCATTTAAAATGGTACAGAAAGGCATGTTTCAGCCTCTACACAGGCCTCATGCTCATGTTTCCATGTCCCTTCAAAGTTGGCTTTACAGCTCTTTAGACAACCCTCTGCTGATTGCTGACTGAACACAGTTCCATCTTCACACCAAAGTCAGCCAAGCTCTTCTCTGTACACTGATAATCTGTGTCTCGATTCCTTTGCTGCCTTTCCTTTCATTATCTTTCCATACTAGACATGTTCCATTTCTGCATGGAGGCAGCATCCTGACTGAGTAAGCTCATGCCACAGCCTGCTCTGGGTGCAAGCCCTCACCGGCCTTTCCAGCAGGCTTTGCTGACCACCTGCTTAAGCCACAAGCAGCTGTCTTGTGTGATATGGAATGCTGTCCTTCTAATCATTGTGTTGACATTAGAAGCATTGAGTCTGGGGCACTTTCTCCTCTGGTGCCTTCTGGTACCACTAAGGTCTTGCAGAATAATTTTGAGTGTTGCCTGCTAGAACACAGTGGGGGTACAGTATTACAAATCTGTTATTTATGTTTTCCAACGATTTTTTTTTCTGTGGAAGCAATCATCTCTAGCATTTGTACTAAACAAACTGTCACAGAATTAGGTGTTGGGTATCTCATGGCATCTTCAGTACTGATGTAGAGAAAGGAAAGGGAAAAAGCTTAGTACCTTTGTGAGATTTGCATGGAGATGCTAAATAGACCAGGTCTCCCAACATTACTGAGAGCAAAGAAATAACTTGCAAAATGATACTTTTCTTTGATGTTACAAGAGAGACAATAAGCTCTTGGAAGAAACAGATTATTACCTTAGCTGTCCAGTGTTCCCTTCTGCTGCAGGAACACCTGTCTTGGAGCACCTTTTTGCAAGAAGGACTACAATTGGTGGCAGTCTGGTAGATGGCTGTTCTGAGGGAGTCAGTGGTTCAGCAGCTGCTTTTCAAACAGCTCAGCCATTTCTGCCCTGAGCAGGGAGGGGCAGACAGCTGGGGGCAGTCATCCATCTCACAGGCTGGTGCCATCTGTTTGTGAATTGCTGATAGGAAATACTTAAAGATGTCCAAAGCTTAGGGGCTGAATGATAGAAGAAGGACAGTCAACCATGTTACTAGTTAAAACTTGGAGCAGGCAGTGGACCACAAAGTCTTGCTTTTACAACATGACTTAAAATGGGACGAAAGGTCAGTCTGATACAAAAAGCTACCAGGTTGCAGGTGGTCCCTCTTGCCCCTATTCCAAAATGACTAGGTAAATTTGCAGGATAATGCCTTTATCTCAAAGGGCTAAGTTATCATTTCATGTTTTCTCCAACCTCAGAGAGTTACTAAAAATAGCAAATAAAAAAGCGAACACATAAATCCAAAGGAGCAGAAAACATATACTGCCTGTCCCAGTTTATAAACACTTCTTCTTGAGGGGAGCAAGGAGCATGGTTGTTATTTTAAATATGGAAACCTTCAAGGTGGCAGTCTTCAAATGCTTTCCTCTGTATTGTAATTTGGCATCTTACCTGATGATGTTTCAACCAAAGCTATTGAAACATGCTGAGAATGTGCTCAGTTGACACTGAATTGAATGTTCCAGGTAATTGCAAAATTTGTATTTCAGCTGTGATATCCCTCGGAGAGATAGTTCTGAAGTTCCTGTCCCTTCCATTATTATGACCTAGTGAACTCTAGAACAGCCCTTTACCCCGTGATTTTGGGAAAAAAAATGAATCTTGTATTTTAAACACTAGAAGACAGACAAGACTTGGATTTGTGGACAATAGGTCAGGATGCAGACTTTGCCCTCCCCTCTGGTGGTAGGTGTAATGGTTCTGGAGTTGCTTAATAACGAGGTTTTGTTTCACTCAGTCATCTTTCAACTTTGTTTTTGTGTGGTTCTTTGTTGTGACTAGACAAAGCCAGACTTCTGGAGACATTAGCAGTGGGTTAAACTTCTGCTGGAGTTTGTCATGTTTTTCCTTCCATCTCCTTTCTAAGCCAAGTTTATGTTTCTTTGTGTTAAGCTGTATGTCAATTTAACTGGTGTTTTCTCTATGCAAGCATTAAAATAAATATTTTTGCATGAATTCCAAGCATTTCATGCATATTGAGAAATTTGCCACTTTTGAAATACCAGCCCACCAGGAATCTTCTTGCAGTTAACAGTGCTGGTTGTGGCATCTTTCCTTAACATGCTTAGTACTGAACAGAAATATAGTAGCAATCTTATTGTGTACTACATGAAATCAAAATGATTGTGACTCCTTTTGTGGTAGCTTCATTCTATTGGTTCAATAAATATTTTTCCTCTCCCTTTTGATTTTAAGCAGTTTTGTAGTTTCATATTTATCTGTCAGGCTTAAAACCAAGCGAGCTGTGTAGCACTATGTTTTTCCCATTGTATATGTCTGCAGCCACAGAGTTTTCATCATGTTTAAGTGACTTCCTTCATTGGCAATCTTGCCATTCCCCTTATGGCTCTTCCTCTGAATTTTCATTTTTTAATTTCAAATTTTTAGT